TATTATTATTACTATTATTATTATTATTATTATTATTATTATTATTATTATTATTATTGTTGTTGTTGTTGTTGTTGTTATCATTATGATTATTATTCGTACAAGAAAATTGATTGCAATTTATATATTTATTCGATAGACTTCTTAGCATCCGCATGAGCAGTGAAAGGAAAGTGAAACTCACTTCTTGCGTTCTCACGAATAAAAGAATATCGCATTCGCTGTTCGCTATCTGTAAGATCCATCTGCGCTAATAGCGATCGTTCGTACACTTCCGTGGATCATTTAAGATTAATAACATCCAAATGTATTCAACGCATTATTTTAATCGAAATTGGAACATTAGTGGTTAAATGTACAGGGAAACAGTTGAATCTTAGAGATTGAAATTGCGGAAAACGGCTGCGCAGCCATCCGATGATAAATTCAAGGTACATTGTGATCGGATTACGGATTTTATTCATTTATAACGAAACGGGGTAAGTGGAACACAAGTAAAAATATTAAACGAAAAATATATAATAAAAGTATAATTATAATAATAATATATAATAATAATAATAATATATATTATAATTATAATAATAATATATAATAAAAGTATAATTTCTAATCGATCAAAATGATCAGTACACGTAATAAAATCTTATTTAACTCCTGTTTCTTACACGAAGGTTCGTAGTCTGACAATGACGATAGAAACTCACGACTGATAAAATATTTCTTGGGATTTGCACTGTCCATAAAGTAGGGAGACGGCGAGTGATCCCTAGGTTGTTCGTATTGCTCGTCCAGAAATTGGTTCCTCATTACACCGACACAATCGGGTCGAACGGAGAGCATGGGCAATTTGAATTCACTTTTAAGAAGCTGAGTGGTAAAAACAAAAATGTTTTGGTACAAGCCAAAATAGACCAAATAGACCATTAATAGACAAAAATTGCATTACAGGGACATGCAAATTTCCATTAAAATTACCAGACGATCGTCCATACTTCGCGGCTCGCCCTGGCCACTCTGCAGTGCCACCGTCTTTTTTATCTCGTTCAGGGCAGCTTTATGTTTCTGTTGCTGTCGTTCAAATTCGGCGAGACCCTCCGTGGCAAGCACGGTGTAGCGTTGGCCATTCCTGGCGTTCAATCTTGGCGTGAAACCTGAAGTGCAAGATTTGTTTCAGCTCCGAACGTTTTCGAACTTTCGAATTTTCTTTGCGATACCTTCATAGCCCGGCATGAGAGGGTGAACGTACAACGGGTCGGTTCTTTTGTACCGGGAATTGACAATGTCTGTGTCATTTTTCGGCGGTCTTTGAACCTGGCAATTTAGAAATCTTTGGCCTCTAACGGACAGATATTAAGTATACCTTGTAACCGTAGAGATTATACGCGAAAGATATTCGATAATTACCTCGTAATCGTCGGTGGCTCTGTTCGATAAGATCAGCGTGTCCGCGTGATTAACCGTCGGATCAAGAAGCAATTTGTGCGTGACACTGCCGTAAGTTTCGCCGCACCTATAGCGGTATTGGGGACAGTATCCGGCATATCTAAAATAATTCATTTCGTTGATAAGCACAACGTGTAAGAGACAGACGTGATTTGAGCCGTTTATTTTGAAAGTGTGGCATAAGTCACTTGTTGTTTTTAACTCGATATATTTAAGGGTTTGCGTTTTAACACCGTTTAAAAATATGAATGCTAACTTTCGAGAAGATTTACTCGTATTTGTTATCTCAGGATACTCTGATATTTTTCTCAGTATAAATAATTTCGTATAAACATTAAAAAATCACCACTTTTCATTACGGTAAAATGACTTATGCCACTTTCAAAATAAACGGCTCATTTAATAGACGCCGAATCGATTTGAAGTATTCGTGGGATTTGGAAAGATATACTAAATTTTCCTTGAAATTTCCAGCACCGAGAGACAAACGTAATCGCGTTTGCAATTTACGCGTAAATAGAAGCAACATTGTTTACCCGGGGATGAGATGTGGCTCGGCGGTAGACAATAAATCTGCTCCAGCGGACATTGTGGCAATTTTGCGAACGAGGCTTTAGCGTAACCGAATAATCAATCCAGGCTAACGGAAATTTATTCAAACGGGACTAAACATTTCTACGTTAATTTGTCGTCACGTCATGCCGAATGGTCTCCTACAAATCCACGATTTAACACCTGAAGTTTACTGCAGAAATCTGCGCTATAAAAATAATATATATAATATATAATATGATATATAATATAATATATATTATATTATTATTATAATATATTATATATATTATATTATTATATATGTAATATAATATATAATATATATAATATAAATAATCATATAATAATAAATCTGCCCATACCATTGAAGTCTCATCAGAACGGATCGATTATCCCTGAAGGAAATTTAATCTCAAAATTGGAATATCAGAAAATAATTTCTAAATAACAGATCTCGACGATCTGTGCAGAACTTAAAAATATTCTAACATAATAATCCTACTTTCCTTTTTTCTTTTTATTGTATAATAGAGCCTTCAATTATGGAAATAAAATTTAATTAAAAATTAACATTAGCGGTTGATAATTCAGCGAGAAAACAAGCGTTCGGTTCCACTGTAAAACTCGTCCGATATTTTGACATTAAAGAGATCAGTCCAACGGGCACCCATTATTATCGTACGCCGAGCCGTAATGAGACTAAGTCTGTGCAACAAATCGATTCGTTTCGCTAAAGAAAAAGGTGAATTCCTCCCTCGGCGCGAGTCGCTGTACACAGAAACAGAGAGGGTCGGTGTGTGGAAGAATGCCGCTAAATAAAATATAGCTCTTT